TCGCCACAGGGCGGTATACAAATGAATATTATTATTATTATTATTATTGCCATTGCCTTCCTCTGATGCTGAGAGAGATTGACATGCCCAAGGTCACCCAGTGGGTTTCCATGGCTGAGCAAAGATCTGAACCTTGGTCTCCAGAGTTGTAATCTAGTGTTCACACCACTACACCACACTGGCATTTCAGAGAGTTCCCCCCCCCTACTGTTTTAAATTTGTTTTTTATTGTATGTTGCCTGAGCTATCTAGATAAAGGGTGGTTTATAAATATTTTAGTAAATAACAAAATAAATGGTGGAATCCTCATGCTCTAACCAAGCCAGTTTTCTTTAGCTTCTTCAAAAGGGGAAGTGGTCAGAGACAGGCATCTAAGCAGCATTCTTCCTTCTCCTGATAACTGTATAGAAGAGGAAGGGGCTATGTGTATGGTTTATTTTATTTTGGAAATGTTTGCATTTTGAATGCAAAAATCTTTAGTTTTATTTTTTGGGTCATGTTCTTATGTACATGATTCCAAGGTTATTCCAAGCTAAAATGTCAAAGGGCAATACCACACTACACTGCTATAGCACTGTTATTCCACTTTTATTGCTATAGATGCCTCCTGTGGCATTGTAGAATTTGCAGTTTAGGGAGGGTCATTTAGCATTCTCAGTCAGAGATCTCCTAAGCCACACTAAACTGCAGACTCCAGAATGCTACAGGAGGCAGCCATAGCAGTAAAAATGGAATAATAGTGCTATAATAGTGTAGTGCAGTATAGCCAAAAGTCATTCTTCCTCCAAGAGAGAATTTTTTATGTCAGTCTCCTGGCATAATATGTTATGATACATTTTTCTCCATGGTACTTTCTGCACAGATGGAAAGCTCTACGATGCCTACGTGTCTTATGCTAACTCAACAGATGACAGAAAGTTTGTGAACTTCATAGTGAAGCCACACCTGGAAAATCGCCATGGTTACAAGCTCTTTTTAGATGATAAGGACATTCTGCCCAACTCAGGTTTGTTTCTATCTCCAGGGCAAAATTCTATGTATTTCAGTGATCAACACCACTTCAGCCACTGTGCTATTTCGAAGGGAACCAGGAAAGATGTAAATGCAATACAATGCTGGATCTTATTGAAATATCAGAATGCAAGTTGGCATGCCCGTTCAGGGCATCATTGTGGATGACAAGAAGTATGGTTTTGCAAGAGGTGTCTTGTCTCTTGGCAATACCATTTGTGTTTTTCTTAGAAAAAGTATAAATAGGATGTGTGTGTGTGTGTGTGAGAAAGTATTTGTTCAGTTCCCCCCTCCCACACACACTCACATATATGTATATATAGAGAGTGTGTGTATCAGCTGAAGACTGAGTGATCAATCAATCAATAGGTATATTGTTAGCCTCCTGGATTTCCTTGTGACTCCAAGTTATTAGACTGTGTTTGACAATTTGTTTTAAGATCTAAGTGCCCCGCGTAATCTTTTATTTGGTCAGCTCATCTGGTCAACTTTGGTTTGGTCAGCAGTCCAGCTAGGCCACATTTTTCAGACTGTTCCCTGGCTCATCTTCTCTTCCAGCTGCAATGATGTAGAAAATGCAGCTCCTCCACACTTTGTGTGCCCCCCATTAATACCCTAGTTTCTGTGTAGCCTTCCAAGGACATGCACAAAGAAGACTGAACCAGAAATCTTCATATTGCATTCCACAAGCATGAATTGATGTTAGTAGGAGTGAAGGAAGAAGGTTCTTTGGGAGAAGAGGTAGGACCATAGTTAGCCTGCAATGGAAAGTGCTAGTTCAAAGAAGATGCAGTGTGTGTATTTGAAGGCACATTATAGTGTATGCTTTCCACCAGCTAATTTTAAAAAATCTATCTGTTCTGTGCTTTATATACACCAAGGGACCTTGTAGCACCTTTTAGAGCAGGGGTAGGCAACCTTTCCCCTTTAAGGACCGAGGGACTTCAACTCCCAGAATCCCAGGAGCTATTGGCCAACATGGGACTATTGGCCAACATGGCTGAGGCTTCTGGGAGCTGAAGTCCATTGGCCCTTAAAGGGAAAAGGTTGCCTACCCCTGCTTTAGAGTTTAGACTAATTGCAAGAAAGAAGCTGATAACTTGAGCTTTTGTAGACTTGAGCCTTCTTCCTCAGATGCATGGGGTGGGCTTTATATAGTGAATCCTGTAACAATAGTAATTATTTTTAAAAGGCCAGCATTTTGAAAACAGAGTAATTATATTGAAAGTAGTGTTACAATAACCTGACACTTGATTCCTCTGCCAGAGCCATTGATACCCATTTTATCCAAAACAAGCAGTGTCATCTGAAGGATAATAAAGTTCTAAATACACTGAGGCCCTAAGCAGACGACTAAAAAAGTCGTCTTCCAGGCAGGGAAGAGGAGGGGCAGCCGCACGAGCGGCGCCCCTTCCTCTCCCCGAGGTCGCCCCCAGAAGCGCCGGCCGTCCGCACGGCCGGCGCACCGGGGATGACCTCACGGCGCAGCGCCCACATGCGCTGCGCCGTTTGAGCCAGGGAAAGTGCGCCCGCCGCTTTTGGGGCGCACTTTCCCTTAAATCTAAAAGGAGCGCCAATTTGGTGCTCCTTTTAGATGCGCCGCAGGAGCGCCGCAGTCCGGAGGCTGAACTCCAGCGGCGCTCCGGACCAGGGCGTCTCCGACGCCCTGGTCTGCATCCCCCCTGAGTTAAAGTTACTTCTGTTTCTCATGAGATTTAGCCCTTTCCTTCAGATGGAACTGATGGATACAAGGATAATCCTCTCCTGCACAGGAGCAGAGTGAATGCTGAAACAAAAGTGGATAAGATGTGGGCATCCTCACAAAAGAGGCTCAGTTTTTCTCTTCTTTTTCAGAACCCTCTGCAGATCTGATCATGAATGTCAGCCGGTGTCGACGCCTTATTGTGGTTCTCTCTAATGCATACCTGGAACATGAGTGGTGTAACAATAATTTCAGGTAACTGGAGTATCAGTAAGACATAAATTGCTGATCTTCCAAACCACAGTTTGGAATGAAACCATGTGTGTATCTATTCTGTCCTCTTGGCTGCCTGGCTTAATAGAACAATTAATGATTTATCAATCACATTTACTACACTTGAGCAAACCTTGGAAACAAATTGCAGAATGTGGTTTGATTCTGGTTTAAAGGGAACATTCACACCACAATTTAGCACATTTCCTGTTGAGGTGAATGTGAGCATGTGATTCATTATTGATCTTTCAAAGTGTGGTTGTTTGATCAGAGGATGTAGCATCTGAATGTAGCCAGTACTGCAGCACCCAAAATCTCTTGTATGTCTGAAAAGCAAAATTGGAAGAGTCTAGGCTAGTTTGTATTCCTCAAACAAGCTGCTAAACACTTTTATTGTCAGTAAAATTAATAAATGTTTCTGTTTTTATTGTGGTAACTGGATCTGATGCAACACCCTTTCTGTACTTTGACTGGACCCTGAGAAATTGAACTGCAACTTCGTAGGAGGAAACGAAAACTTTACTTATGATTTTCTAAACCAGTTTTCTGTTTTTGCAGGGAGGGTCTTTGGAGGCTGCTGGAACTGTCTCGGAGGCCAATCTTCATTGCTTTTGAGAGCCAGTATCGGGAAATAGCACATCCGGCCATTAGTTTGCTGAAACAGCACAAGAGCGCTGTGACCTTGCTGATGTGGCAGGCTGGTTCCATGGTAAATTGTGACTGAAAAAGGTGTAACCTCATCACTTTCGTTCATTATCTTCAGAGGTCAACATGAGGCCTCCAAGTGCAGTGTTGCAAGCTCTAGCAGCCATAGCCAGCATAGCCAATGTTGAGGGATAATGGGAGTTGCAATCCAATATTCCCTATAACCACTTTTAAAAAAATTTCCAGCAAGTTGCTCAATATTTAAGGCAGGGGTAGGCAACCTTTTTGAGCCAGGGGCTGCTGGGTTGCTGTCCCTCAGACAATTGGGGGG